TTTTAAAGAAAAAGAAAACAAAAGCATACATAAGAATTAACTTGAAACTGCGGACGGAATGAATGAAAGAATATGAAGAATAATATAGTTAATTTATTTTGTCAGATTAATTTTACGAGGCCTTTAAACGGATTTAATCAGGAGCTAATTTATATTTATTATAGTATAATATAATTTATTGTAATTGAGAATTCACAGGCAATAAGGGGACGGTTTTAAAAATTAAAAAAAAATTTTAAACTGAAAGGACTACTTAAAAAAATTGTATAATCATGTAATTATTGGAATAATAATTTTTAATAATTAAAATAGTTCAGGATTATTGTGTGTAAATATTTGTAGTCATAATTTTCACTTTGTCCTTATAAGTAACAGAATATACGGCACTGGAATTGATATAGTAGTTTAGGACAGTTCTCATCCAGCCATCAGTGGCCGTTCGGTTTAAACCCGTTGCGTTATACGCTTTCGGTATGCGTCGGAGCAAGGGGATGTGAGTTCGATCCCACATGCGAGCGGATATTTTTCATTTTAAGCGTTATATAAAATAATAAAATTACTATTTAATCTGTATAAATTATAAGTGTTGTAAATAAAATGTTGTGAACATGTTTGTAAATAATATTAAAAATCTGTTAAAAAAATGAACCAAATTAACACAAATTATTTTTTAAAATTACTATTTTAAATAACATTTATATTGCTAATTATATTATATTAAATTATAATGAATAAACAAATTGCTAATTATATTAAATAAACGCGTGATTAGCTACTCGCTGTACTATCTCTACATACGAGTCATATGCGACGCATATGAGGACATAATATATAAAACTAAAAATAAAAAATAATAATAATATATAAATAATAATATGTTCAATATATAACATATATATATTATTTTTTATTTTATTTAATATCTGTGTGGTCCAGTGATAGCACGCGGAGCGAATTATTTCGCATGCATGCAAGCACTGTGTCTGGCACAGTTCACGCATTTTGCTATCTGGGCTACTCATATGAAATACTATCTAATATTTTATTTTTAACAATTTCTGTACTCTCTTAATCTAAATTAGTAATTTTCTACTAATAAAGTAGTGCGGATTCGTGTACTAATTTAAGTAGTAACAGTTGTGACTAATTTTTAGTTTTGGCAGGCAAGATATAATAGAGTTCTTGTTCCTGTTATAACACAAAGTAACGCTAGAGTTGAAGGAAAATCATTGTTTTATTTAACTGCTTCGGTAAGTTTCATAGCTATGTTATTAATTTGGATTCTTATTTGGTTTTAAAATTCGATCGTCGCTATTGGAAACTTATGTATATTATCCAAATTGTTCTCTAAATGGGTGCTTCTCAGGAGCCAAAGAAGACAAGAGAAAGATTGTTTTTTACTATCTGCTGATTATCAGTTCTGATTGGAGCATTAACAGGAATAGCCTTCACTGACGAAAAGGAGTTAAAATTTGATTTGATGATTATCAAATATGAGAATATTAGTTGCACAATTCAAAAGAATGAGGCAGAAATAATTATTAAAAGCACAAAGAATAAGAATGACAAGCCACAAGTTACAATTTTAAAATTAAAAATTAATTAATTAAATTAAAATTTTAGAAACTTTGTTTCCATCTCATCTCAGTTTATATCTTGAAACTAATTTACCGTATTCTCGTAAATCTGAATACTTTCTGCAAAAAGCAACACAAGCTGGAATTGTTGGTAAATGGGAGAAGGAGGACTTACATTTTTTTCGAAAACCTTATGAACATTCTTCTACACAAAAAATTACTTTTATAAATAGAAGGAAGGTTGATTATTCTTTTACTGCTTGGAATAAGCATCTTGGGATTTTCATTTTCTGTTATTAATTTATTGTCGAAATTTTAGTTTTCAAATTCTTTTTAGTCGATAAGAATAGAATAGTTGACTGTTAAACTATTTGATTCAAAGTCATATTAAATACAATCTAGTTTTTTATTTTTTAAGATTTTTGTATAACTTCAGAAACATTGCAGTCTGGAATTGGTATTGAAAAAAAAAAAATTTTAATTTTACATGTGCGATGAGGCAAAATCGATAGACCTTGACTGCGAAGAAATCAATAAAAATACATTAGGTTAGGAAAATTTTTTCAGTAAATATAGAATAATAAAATAAATACTCTCATCCTCGAAGTCAGAAAATGTTACAATATTATTTACAAGTTTATGTTTACATGGTTAGCTTATTTGTGTTTGAGCATTAAGTTAATGTTATTATAACTATAAACGAATGAAACAAGGTTGATATAATTTATATTTATGTACCTACTGACTTAATAGAAGACTTCAAGTTCTCTTTTCAAAATGTTTTTTTATTAATACATCATTTACCAGCTGAATGTTAAATGTTAACAACTGTTCTGTTGTATGATTAGTAATTACAGTATAAGTTAATTTACAACTAAGAATAATAACTATCTGAATCAAAGTTAGTAGTTTAAATTCCTTTAAATGGAAAAAGTGTCAACGTAAGTTTCAAACATATTTGAATAACTATTTCAAATATTATAGAACGTTTGAATATTTCCCAAATGTGACTTCTAATCCTTCTTGTTTCGTTTAATGCTAAATTATTAAGTTCGGCGAGAGACTGATGACTTAAAATCTAAGTGGATGCTTTATTGATTTGAGCTTTGCTACACATTTTTTTTCTCAACGATTTTAGGTGCGAAATTAAAATTCTCTACAGTTATGTATTTATTAAAATTATAAAAGAAAATGAAATCAAATTTAGTACTACTATTGAGTTTAGTTACTTACGGAGGCAGCAGTATAATACAAGCAAATCAGACGCAATGTATGAGACACTTAGGAGAATATTTAAAAACAAAATTAAATGTACATCAAGTAATGATCCTGGCTGAAAATAACAAAAAAATTCGTTACGAAAGAATACTATCGAATCTAATAGAAAATTCACCTGTTCTGTTAGTGAATTTGCATAATGCTACCAAAAAGATATGGAAAAATTCAAAAACCTTTCAACTCATGAAAAATCCTGAATTAACAACTTTGTTCGTAATGGCTATCTATGTAGATGATTTAAATTATGCTGAAAAATTTACTACTCCAATCGATTTGATAATTTCAGCGTCGTACAATAGAGGAAATCCAAAATGTTTATTTCTTCTTTATTCTAAACAAAGAAACTTGAGATTTGAACAACTGTTGAAAACCATGTGGAATAATCGATTTCTTGACGTTACGATTTTACACGTAGCGATAGTTAATGAAGAGGGAAATGCATTTCTGAGTAATGAGCAAGTTTTTGCTACAATTCATCAATTTAATCCATACTTTGAAAAGTATACAGAAAAAATCTGTTCTCATCGGATTGAATTGTTTCCTGGTAAATTGCACGATTTAAATGGATATGAAATAAAATATGGTACATACAATCAGCCCTTGCAGACTTTAGTAGAACTAAATTCAACAGGTTATCCTGTGGTAATGAAAGGAAGATCTGTTTCATTTGCCAATTTGCTGTCGCGTGTGATGAATTTTAAACTTGTATTCGTCCCATCAACGGAAAAGGCTTTTGGAAAATTCGATTGTTTCAACAGAAGTGGTGCATCTGGTTATATGTACAAAATGGCAAACAATGAGATTCAATTTATGGCCGTCAATTTAATAACGATACCAGTGTGCCTTTATAGTAGTGTCAATTTTGGTAGGCAGGATTTAGTTGTCCTTGTTCCTGTTATAATGGAAAATGATAGTGGGATTGAAGGAAAGTTATTGCTTTATATGACTGGTGCAATGAGTATCTTTGCTGTGATATCAGTTTGGTTGCTTATTAGACTTTTGAAATTCGATCGCCGCTATTGGAAAATTATGTACATTATTCAGATAGTGATACAAATGTCTACTCCCCAGGAGCCGATTATGACAAGAGAGAGGTTGATTTTCTGCTATCTTCTTATTATAAGCACTGCATATTCTTCAAATATTTTTGGAGCGTTGACGGGAATAGAATTTACTAAGGAGAAGGAATTAAGATTTGATACAGTAAAGGATGTGCTTGAATCTTATTTACAACCCGTTGGTCTTCTGGGGTTGGCTACTCAAAGATTAGCATTTGAGGAAGGAGCCAAGAGAAATTTTGTTGACAAACACCTGGGATATTTAGATTTTATTGATATTTGCATCCAGAACATTGTTAAATATAAGAATATTAGTTGCACAATGCAGGAAAATGAGGCGACAGTAATTATTGAAAATACAAAAGACAAGAGTGGAAAAGTACAACTTAAAGTGGTGAAAGAGCATTTGTTGCAAAGTTCAATTGGTGTTTATCTAGAAACCAATTCACTGTATTCTAGAAAATTTCAACATATTTTGCAAATCGCTACACAAGCCGGTTTGGTGTGGAAGTGGGAGAAGGAAGACCTGAACACGTTCAAAAATCCCAATCTCGATAATTCTTTTAACGAAATTGATGTAATTGGTGGAAAGAAACTTCTTTTCTTGCTCTTTGGAATAGGTATAATAGGTTTTTCACTTTCGATTCTAGTTTTTATTTTAGAATTTTTGGTCCTTAGTTTTTATAATTCTCGCAATAGAAACATTGGTCTGTTGTTTCATTAATAATAAACATACTCTTCTAATTATGTAGTTTTTATTAATTTTCGTTAATTATTTATTATTTACAAACTGTCAATTTAATAGTTTTTGAATAATTTACAGAAAACGAATTCTCTTTATTTTCTATTGGTACTACTTAGCTAAATTTAAATTTACACACATGGTCTTCTGTAACTGCTTTTAATTTTATTTTTACAAACAAACATTGAAACAAATAATAATTCATCTTATTTTCTATAAATAATACATCACTTGTTCCATGATTAAAAGTTTCACAATATGAAATTGTAATGCATAAACTTACATTTAAGTGAAATAAGTTCTGCAATGCTCTCCTGTTAAGAAAAATTTTAATTGAAATTATGACTTTTGAAACTTATTTCAATTCATCACAAATTTTTGTAATTTAAAACTACTATAAATATATTTTAATAATATTCAAATAAAATATGATTAAGAGATCGTCAATAAATAAGTACCGAATAGCAGTGTTACTTAATTTAGTAATTACCACAAATTTAAAAATAATGAAATAAAGATAACTTAACTTTATCCGAGATATTTCATCTCTGGCTTATATATTTTTATGTGTATGCTTATCTTTTCGCTATATCAAAAATTGACGAATTTCTTGTGTTAAACGGAGCCTTGTCGTCCACGGTAACTAACTGAAACAGGAAATTCATGAAAAATGTTCATGATAAAAATCAACAAAAAATAATAGAATGATAAGATGATTATGCCTATATGTATATACCTTCTTATACCCTTTATCACTGTATTCATTCCACGGTTCTGGATTGTTTTTATTGCTCCACGTTATATCCGGATTTGTTAAAGCGGCTCTTAGTGTACAAAAAGCAGCGACCGAACTTCCAATACCCAAACAAACGAATAGGGGAATTAACTGTAATGAAATAATAATTAGTTTATTATTAATTTAAAGGCAGAAAAACGAAGACGTTCAGACAAAGATTCGTTTTTAAATTGTACCTTCATCAGTGAAGGTCAGTCTCGATTGAAATTTAATTTTTTTATTTATTAGTTTTGTTTTATTTGTTCTTATTTATTTGTTGTTTTTGATTGTTCTACTATTTATTATATGTGTTTTCTTTTATTTACTATTTTTACTAAATGGATTATTATTAATTAGTTTTTAATTCTGTGTGTATGGCTCTAATGTATGGGTGTACTATTTTTATTTTCTGACGAATTTTAATTTATTTATAACAAATTTATGTTCTGACTGTTGCTAAATTGACTCCCTGAAGAGGAAATCTGCTGATTTCGAAACGTTGGAGTAACATTAAACGAATCTTTGTCTAAATGTCTTTGTTTTTCTGTCTTATTATCAAAACCACTCGGACGTTAAAGACTTTAACTATCCCAGTAAAAAAAAAAGTATTCAGAATAGAGAAAAAGTATTGGTGGAGACGTTCGGTGAATGCGTTTTCGCGACAAAACCGTATTGGTGGGTTACGGTAAATACATTTTGCTTACCGTGAATACTTTTTCTTTAAACTCTCGATTTCAAGATTCCTAAGCAAAGTTGAGAATATTTATAAAGAGCGTAAGTGACCTGAAGTATAAAAATGACGATTGCGAGAAGGAAATAAGAAATTTTGAGAAAAAACGAAAAATTAAATGTGACAAACAGATTGTCAAATGTTGATCAATTACCATATGCTTTTCTGTGCCTACAACGTATGATGATTAAAAGGAACTTTGACGTTACCGGCGGAACTTACTGTTTCACATACATTTACTTGGATTTCTCAAGTTTCTGTCGCTATCGTCAATGTTCCTTTTCATCATCATACGTTGTAGGTTTGTCACATTTAATTTTTCGTTTTTTCTCAAAATTTCTTATTTCCTTTTCGCAATCGTCATTTTTATACTTCAGCTCACTTACGCTCTTTATAAATATTCTCAACTTTGCTTAGGAATCTTTATATCGAGAGTTTAAAAAAAAAGTATTCACGGTAAGCAAATTGTATTCACCGTAACCCACCAATACGGTTTTGTCGCGAAAACGCATTCACCGAACGTCTCCACCAATACTTTTTCTCTATTCTGAATACTTTTTTTTTTACTGGGATAGTCTATTATTAAAATATAAATTAAATATAATATACTAAAAAATAGATATAAATAAAAAAATGTATTCAGTAAAAATGTAATATTACTAGTACGTGTTAGAATCAAATACTCTATATTTTATTACGAAAACCTTATTATTATTAGTTGTTTTAAGAGGAGGGACCGGTGAAATTTCAACCCTCCAAAAATTACGTTGTTAAGAGGCGCCAATTTTTTTTCTAGCATTATTTAGGATCTAAATTTATTCTATATATAGTTAAAGTTGAAAAATAAATTTTCTTTTATCATTTTGAAAATTTTATTTATTTATTAATTTAAATTTTTTTTACTTTTCTTTATTAGCTCAAATCATATTAATCTACAGAAAATTATTAAAAGTAATTTTAATTTTTTCAAAAATTTTAATTTTTTCAAAAAATCAAATTTTTTGAAAATTCATACGATTGATTGTTCAGAATCATGAAATAAGTGTATAAAAATCGTCAATGAAAATTAATAAAAATTAGGAGAATAATTCAAATTTGTTTTGTTTCTTTAAAAAATTTTAACTAATTAAGTTTTTTAAATTTTTGAAGCATATTACATTTTTAAATACCAAAATTTGTGAGAATTCTTTAACAAATTGACCACCCATAAACAACAAAAGTTTAGATGAGTTGAAAATTTACCGGTCTCTCCCCTTAATTAAATTTTTTCTTAGTGTGTACATATATTACACACATGTGTGTAAAAATTTTGTATATTTATAGATGCCTTCTTAAGGTGAGCCATTTAATTCTTATTAAATTGTCTGATTGATATTTAATTTGATGTTATCTTTTAACGATAAAAAAAGGATTGATAAGTTAAAATTTTGTGAAATTTTTCAAATAAAATGTTTCCTTTATTGTAATGTTTTTTTTGTCATTGACGTCATAAAAATCCTTATTAATAAAATCAGACTTTTGTCTGTACATTGCATAGAATTCAAAATTTCTATTATATTCCTTCTTTTTACACTCTAAGGAATGCGAAAATACTATTAAGAAAATTATGTGTGTATGTGTATATGTGTGTATGTATGTGTGTATGTATGTCCGCAAATTTTCGACCGCGTATCACGGAAAAACGGTTCGATCGTTTGAAGTGAAACTTGGCAGTCTTTTAGGCATTAGCCTAACTTAAAATCCTAGCGATAGTAGATTAAAAAATATTAATATGGACGAAAGTTATGTCATTTTTTCAAAAATTCGAAAATTTGAAATTTTTTATTTTTTTATTTATTGCAATCAACTTTGAATTTCGCATAGCGTTAATTTTTTTAATGAAACTTAGTCATTAGATTAGTAAAATTATAAATAATTAAATTAATTTTTCGTTTAGAATTTTTTTTTTTTTTTTAATAAATATTTTAAAGATTAACTCTTTTTTGAAAAATAAATTCTAACAGAAATCAAATAATATGAAAGATAAAAAAAAGGAATTCAAACATTTGAAAAATAAAATCAATTGTTTTATGTGTAACTTTTAATTGACAACTAATTGTCAGTTTAGATTTGTTTGAAACTGAAAGGATCAACATGGGTAAATTTAGTTTAAATTAAATATAATAAATAATCGGGTTTAATATAATGACACGTTTTATTTAGTGGTTTTTTATATAAAAATCAATTTTAATGTTAAAAAAAATTTTCAATTTTAGTTTTCGGATTTCTGAAAAATCTATTTTTAAAAAAAAATGAGCCCGCCGAAGGCGGGCACGAAAGCTAGTGTTACATAATTTTAAAAAGTCCAAATAATATATATAATTAATTATTGACTTAGGTATCGTTTCCTTTGAAGTTTGTTATCTTCTTTACAAATTAAATAATTTAACGAGTTTTATTTGTTCTTATTTGAGAAATTTAGGGGAAACAAATCTAAAATTTTAAGCGGTACTTTTTTAAAGGTACATGTAAATATTTGTATTATTGATACTACAGTTTATGATCACTAATTGTTTGGTAAAAATTTGAAATTTAATTAAAACTGTATATAAAATAAAAATAAATTACAGAACTAAAAAAGGAACTATTTATATATTTATTTTAATTCTTTATTTAAATGATCAGAAATTCAAGAACACGCGAAAGATGAAGACAGTATAATTTTAAACTGTCTAGAATTTTAGCAGTTTTGATTTTTCATAAAACGTAATATTTTAAAATTGGTGTTTCTAAAAATGTTTAATTTACGTTTGTAATTTTTATTACAATCAGTAATTTAAGAAAATTTTTTTTATTGAAAAATATTTCGTTCATTTGAACGTTCAAAACTTGTGGACCATTAAGATTTGTTTGCAACCAAATAATTTTCATGTATCGAGTTCAATATAAATTTTTCTACTTTAAAATTTCTTTTACGAAAATTGCAGATATAAATAAAGTAGAATATAAATTTAAAGGGTGAATTTTTTTAAACAAACGAAAAATTACTTACAGATGGATGCTTTCGCAGTCCTTGGAGAGTTAGACCTTGCATTCGGGATGACATTTTAATTAATTGAAAATATTATCTTTTAATTAAAAATAAAAGTAACAATTAAATATGTTAATTTGTTTATCTTCTTTTTGTATTAGAACTCGCTCGAATGTTAATTTAAAAGAATCCGAAATCAGTGTGAATCGAAGGAGGAAAATGTTCCGAATTCGTATATAACGGCTTGATCTTGAAAATGGACAGGATAAATTTGAGCAATGTATCGCGCAGAAATAATCTAAAGCCTCAGCTGATTTCCACTGAAAAAGCAATCGTTTGGAAATTACATTGAATCATTTCATGACATTTACGCCGGAAATAAAATTAGAAATTGTGTTTACCTTATGATCACATTATATCTCTGTACATGAAGTATATATATATATTTTTTTTGTTATGCTTAAAAGTATAGATATAAACTTTGAAGGTAAATTCTGCATTCGCTACTATATACCTTTTAATAATCAATAAAAAGAATCGTAATTTTTCGAATTATATGTTGTGTGTGATTCTTCACTCAGTAGTCATTTTTGCTTCCCAACTGTTCCCCATTTAATTTCTTCAAAAATTATTTTCAGATCAGTTTCTAATTTTCCTCTATATAGGAATGTATTATATGAGATCCTGATCAAATGTCCGGATCTATGTATGTGTGGATCGCTTTTTTGTGAACGAGATAACTCGAAGAGGATTTAACGAATTTTGGTAAAAATTGATACAATTATTTATCATATAAATATTTTAAAATTTTAAATTACCTTAAAAGACTTAAGGGGTTACACCACTGTAAACATTTCAAAAAAATTCTATTTTTTTATTATCTTAAAAAATTCTTTAAACCTTCTAGAATAAGGGACAAAAGTTTTGACACATGTCCAAAATCGATTGCATTCAAATTTCCAGCTTTTCTACCGTAGATGAATTTTACTTTGCATAAAACATGCATTACAAAAATGGTTCCAGTGCCGCCATTTTGGAATATTTATTAATGAAAAATTGTAATTTTTAACTTGAATACATATGTTAATAACTACTTAAAACGTTGTTACTGTATATCCTTTCCTTACATTAAAAGAAATTATTGATAAAATGCTTTTTATAGCCCGTTGTAGTGATGTTGCCCTTTAAACGCGTTTTTCTCAAAACAAAGTTTTTGAAATCTGCAACTCAGACTCGTACTTCTCGACAAAGTACGTTGTTTCAGATTTAGACTCACGCATTGAGAAATATGATACAGCGCTGAAAGCCGTACCAGAGATATCAATAACATTAAAACTACATGTCCTACTAAAGCACACTAAACACTGCCTGGATAATTTAAAAGGACGAGGTTTGGGTTTCTGATCGAAGTAAGCAGGTGAATCTGTGCATAGACTGTTTTTATTGTATTGGAATAAGTACAAAATTAATTTTATCGATGATCCAGCTTACATACTACATTCAAAAAAAGCTGTAGTAGAATTTTCGTCTCGACATGTTTAGATAAAAAGTTCTTCGTTTTAAAAAAATGTTTCGAATCTGACCCACCATCAAAGGATGAAAATTTGTCGAACCAAAAGTTGAAATATTATCGGCTAAAATTTTGTATCTCATGGCAAATTATAAATGCCAATATTGGGACTTTGCTTGATCCAATTTTGGCGCATTATGGTTCAGTAGCGTAGCATATAAAAACCTTTTTGCTTTCTCGATTTTACGTGAGCGTAGCAGAGTGTTAGACTTCGGAGCATCACTTTCAATTGTTTGTAAGATTGCGTTTAATTTAAGGGAGTAAACCTAATAAATATATTTTGCCAATACTGAGGAGTAATGGCGGCCAATATTGGAGCATTAATGTCTGTCGAGATCTGGTTGCCGACGTCTAATATGCAATTATCACCACAAGAGTTGGCCCAATATTGTCTGCCAAGACTCAGTGCCAGTATCAGGCCGTGTTGGTTTTCGCACTTGCGGGTAAACAAAGTTTTCTGTATTGATAGAAAAATGTATTTAAAAAAATTTAAATCAAAGTAATATAAAATACTATTTAGGTTTTTATTTTTTAAATTTTCTGTAACGTTAGAAACATTGTAGTCTGGGGTTGGGTGTTGAAAAAAGTGGATTTAAAATTTTTCATATGCGATAAGGCAAAATCGATAAACTTTGACTTCGAAGAAATCAATAGAAATACATTAGGTTAAAAAATATTTTTTCATTAAATACAGAATAATAAAATAAATACACTCATCATCGATATTGGAATATACTACAATTTATATTTACATAGTTATTCTGTTTGAGCGTTAAGTTAATATTATTGTAAGCATTAACGAATGAAACAAGATGTTTTCAAAATGTTTTTTCTATTAAACCAAGGTTCCTCCAAAAAACGGGGTTTTTTTTAAACAAATTTTATTCATAATGGGGTAAGAGCGCCGAAATCGACTCAACTACGCCATAATTGACGTTTTTAATCTTAGTTTTTATTGCTTTAGTTTGTTTAAATAATTAATTTTTATAAAGTTTTTATTAATGTTCTATTATCTAAATGACGCGGGCTTTTAGTTTAATAAGCTAGAAATTTACTTCTTTCATTATAATTTTTTAATTTTTTATTTCAAAGACGGTTAAACCAGAACCGCGCCATAATTGGCACACTTACCCTATAAAAAATATTTATAAATGAAAGTTTTTATAGGTTAAAAAATATTAAAAAATACTAATTGAAAAATTTTTTTTTTTAAATGGCGGTTGCTAAAATGGTTGCTAAAAAACGTCCCTTTTGTTGGTAGGTGACAGGATTACTCAACAACGAATCATCTGAAAGCAAAAATCAAAACGGTTTCTCATTGTGTATCACATTGGCTACGGTCTGAACTACAATGAAACATTTTCACCAAAAAAAACAGAATGGCAGACATTTTAATTTTTTTTCACTTTTAATTGTTTATAATTTTTTTAAATAACAATGAATATTTTTGGTTGTAGTTCCGACCATAGAGAGGCATTTTAAGAGTAAAATGCCGTTTGGTTTTTGTTAATAAGTGCAATAGTGTCTAAATGAGAGTGTCACCCACTTGAAAAAACGTGGTTTCGAGAAAAAGGCGATTAAAGTTTTTGTTAGTGAAAAATGGTAAAAAAAGAGAATTTTACCTCCATATCCAATCCGGCTGCGTACACAACTCCTTCCTGGTCTTCATGAGCTCTCCCCTCTTAAATACCTACTCCTCGGTCGTGTATTATAAGGCAATATTGGGCCTACTCTTGTGGTGTTAAAATGAATATAAATTAACTAACTAATTCAAAGTTTGTAACTTGAATGTGTTTAAATAGAAAAAAATGACCACGTAAGTTTTAAAGACATTTAAATTTATTGCACTCCTAATTTTAAAGTAACAATTAAATTATAATATGTGATGACTTAAAATTAGGGTGGAAGTTTTATTAGTTTGAGTTTTGCTATAAAAACTTTTTCTCAACGATTTTAGGTGCGAAGATTTAAATTATATATAAGTTTATTTACTCTTCCTGCAGTCGCAGGGTTCGAGACACCCAAGTACATAGAAAAATCAACTTAATCTATATTTACAAAAATTCGTCTTACAGCTAAACATTCTGCTCAAACCACTTAATCTAATCGCAACTTAATCTACTCTCCCCTCTCTCTCTCTCAACGCTCTTAATTCGACAGTGCCCGGGCTTCCGATTCCAGTTCCTTTTATGCCCATGCTGGCTTTGACCCTTTCGCCCACCCTTATCCAATAATAATAGCCCTACTTCTACTCCTGCTTATCATTTCATACAACCATCCAGTCTACTTTCCATCCACTTTTATCCATCCATAACCAAACGAAAATATACTCACTCTTTCCTAATCCCCCTCCCTTCTTTCCCATTTAGACAATCACAAACCTCTTGCTTCAACCACTCTACCCGTATCATCCCTCACACAATACTTTACACCATCCACCCAAATACAATCTTTACCCATTCTAACCTCCTTCCCATTCACTCTCTCAGTCCAGAGCTCTTTCTCTCAATAGCCACATCATTTTTCACTCTCTCCAACTCCTATCCACATCTATTCTTATCACACTTCCTTTCAGTCTTCCTTTTACCCTTATCACATCCATTTTCTCTGCCTCACTACCCAACTCCACCAGCCATAACTTTGGTACACCATTCTCGACCGTTCCTATCGCTTGCACCGTTTTAACACTTACACTGACCCCCACCCACGCCAACACTTTTTCCACCTCTCTTTTACCCTCCAACACGCCTACATTAATGCCTCTGATCACAACATTCTTTTTTCCTATTCTACTACATCCACTCGCCTTGTCAAATCTGCCATTTTCCACTTCAACCTGTCATGTTCACTTCCCTCAACTTTCTTTGTCCCCTCATTTACTTCCTTTATAAATTTTTCTATTTAAATCATTCTTCTCCACATGCTTTCCTTTTCCTTTTTCCACTTACTATCCCATTCATTACACATTTCCTGGAATTTCTCCAACCTCTCTTCAATTTCCCCTATCTCTTTGTCCCTTGTTTCCCCATCATCTACAGTTATGTACGTATTAAAATTATGATTATATCTTAAAAATTTGCACTTATTTTGTATATGTCGTAGGTGAAAAGGAAAATCCGTCGTTTAGAGTAATTCCTCAAGTAAATGACAATTCTATTCTTTTAATCTTAGTTAAAACTATCTTTTAAATTTAATATTACAAAATATTCAAAATTATATTTAGTCTCTCTTTGCTTTACGCGAGTGCCAGATTACTTTTATTTTAAATGGAAAGTGTTTCGGTAAATGAGGCAAAATTCCTCAACTGACCAGGTCAAAAAATTAATTTTTTCGAAACTTTGCTAAAATGGTATTATTATTAGTAGAAGTGTAAGTATAAAATTTTTGTTAATTTGATAAAATATTTTTTGAGTTATGGAGTTTCAAAATTTTGATTTTTTCGAAAATATCTTTTTTTCGATTTAATATAATTTGATAAGCAAAATTAATCAAATTAAAAGTATGAATAGTGATTTTTAAAGGGTTTTTTTACGAGCTATAAACTATCTAAATCGAAAGCTTATCTTTTTTTTTGAAGAAAATAATAATTTATTATTATTTTATATAGAAAATGATTATTTATAATTATTTTCTTTAAAAATTTTCAAGGTCTTACTCTAATTTTTACATGGCTCATAGGAAAAAAGATAAGCTTT